TTGGAGATCGTTTACCCCGTAGAGAAGATGGACCCGACGGAGATGGAAGGGCACCTTTATGTTAGTTAATGCTTCAATTGTTTTTATTCACAACAATAGATCAGATATTATTATTCAGATGTTTGAAAAGTACTTGGAGGTTATTTTGATTAATGAATAGTATTGAAATTTTGGCTTTGTTGAAAACATGTGTGTTTGAGTATCCCATTTATATAGATTGTGCATGGTATGAAATTGAACAAGCACTACGTTGTGCATTTTTGGAATCTTGCAACGGAGCATTCTGTTGCAGTCGCTACGTTACCAATTTCTGTTGCAAATAATTTTTTTCCGTAGCAAACATTAGCAATGGAGTTGCTGTTGCACTTTTTCTGTAGCAATTTTTTTGCAACGGAAATATGGTTGCAAACTTTGGATGCAATATACTGCAATGGAAATACCGTTGCAAAATGTGGCAACGGACTTTTCGTTGCAATGCTCCTGTTGCAACCGTCCGATGCAATGCTCTACAACCGAACTTCTGTTGCATCTCTGTGTTTGCAACAAGGGTTTTTGCAACGGCTGAATTGCAACGGAAAAGCTGTTGCAATAACCATTAGCAACGGAATTATTGAAGAAATGCAACGAAATGTGCCGTTGCAATTACATTATATTCTTGTAGTGAATCCTTGTCCCTATCCTCCTTAGCTAAGAGATCCGCAGCATGGTTACCCTCCCGCAAGGTATGTGAGCTCTAGACATCATTCTCATGAATCACTTTGGCTAAGGTATCAATCAAAAAAGGAGAATGAGCGTAATACGTGTAATATCCAATTCTCTTCAAAATCTTCAAGGCATCACTTTCATAAACAAGAAGATGATGAAAGTTTAGAGCCCATTTAATACCTTTGGTGGAGGTGTCTAGCTAGTTCGGCTTGGTAAGGGGATGAACCAGAGACTGAAAAGGAAGACGCATGCACAAATCTGCCCTTATCATCTCGAAGAATCGCTGCACCACGTTTGGAACCAGAAGTGAAGATGGCTATTATGATATGTAATTATAATACTAGAACTTTCTTATACTCTTCCGTCTCCCAGTTTTTGTCCACTTTCATTGTTACACATTATCCAATGCACTTCTTTAATTCATTTTATCTTGTAATTTGTATATTAAAAAATTATAGAAATTATATACTAATAATATATATGTTAAGACAAATCAAACAAGATCACACATGACTATATTTAGGCTTACACATTGAAAAAATTTGATGAGTCAAAGTGCTTAGATGAACAGTTCCAAAAGTGCTTGATTAGTCTTTTTTAAAAGAAATAGTTTATTTCATTTAATTTGTTAAGACACTCATTTTTTCGGTGTCATCCAAGAGGCGACCCTACAAATAATTAGGCTGGTAAGAGAGGTTCGATATTTCGACTACTCCCTCCGTTCCCTTAAAAGGTTCATGTTTTGACTTAGTTTGTAGACAAATTTAAAAAATGTAATTTTGGTTTACTTTCCAATTTTGCCCTTGATGTAATGGGTAAGTTAGATGTGATAGTTTCATTATTAGTGAAAAAACATGATGTAATAGGTAAGGTATGAAAAAGTGGGGGTAAAAGTGGTTTTTTTAAAATGGAAATGTTTTAGGGAATTAGAAAAAAAATGAAAGGAAAATGATCTTAAAGGAGTTTTTTAATTAGAACATTAAGAGGGTGTTTGGAAGTGATTAACTTGTGGATAAAGTGATTTCAATAAAAGCTGAAAGCAAAAGCACCTCATAGCTGCTTCTCCGAAACAGTATTCTATGTACAAACTAGTATCACACCCGTGCGTTGCACGGATCATTTTTATGTCATTAAATTCATATCATTTTTCAATGATAAAAAATGAGATGCAGTAGAATATAGATATTATATTATTTTAAGGTACAAAACATCATTGTTTTACAAATTTCGAAAGGCTTCTTTATATGCTACATTATTTGTACAATTTCTGGGAATATTGTCTTCATTATTAAAATTGTTTAACTTTCCTTTTTAATTATTTTCAATTTAAATTAATCACATTAGTATTATTTTAATATTATTATTATATTATTTATTTATAATCACATTTGGTAAGTTTTTAATAATTATTATTATTAAAAATGGAACTTTATTAATACCGAACATGCGTTTTAAAAGTCTCAATTCTTCTATAATCGAGTCATTATAAAAATTGTTTAACTTTCCTATTTAATTATTTCCAATTTAAATTAATGACGTTAGTATTATTATTATTATGTTATTATGAAAGTTTTTAATTTTAATGTAATTGAGTCATTACCATTTTTAAATTTAATGTAATTTAGTACCGTGTATTATTAATTGCCATTAATTTCCATAATTAGGTTGGCGGAGGCCGTTTTAACGTAATTTAACTTATCAAAAAAAGAAATAGCGTGTAATATTAATTGTCAAAAAAAGAAGTACCATGTAATATCAACTTACCATTTCCTTTTTAATTATTTCCAAATCCATACTTTATTGTTTAGTACCTTGAATTATTAATTGCCATTAATTGACATAATTAGGTTGGCGAAGGCCATTTTAACGTAATTATTTAATTTAATTTAATATTTAATTATTTAATGTAATTGAGTCATTACCATTTTAGGTGAATAATTGTCATTTTTTAATGCAATAACAAATGGGTGGGAAAACCATCTCTTAATACCGAATTATTTGCCAAATTATTTATTATTGTTTAACCATGTAATATTAATTGTCATCAATTGCCATAATTAGGTTGGCGGCGGAGGACATTATTATTATTATTAAAAAAGGAAATGTATTAATATAGAATTAATACAATGATGGTTGTAGGCGCACGAAGTCCTCCTTACAGCGGTATGCACATGATGAAAACCTAAGACATGCGTCTAGAATGATCATGATGATTGCTTGATATTTTTACCTTTGGTCAACGCCAAAATTATATCAGTTAAATATTATTTATACTGAAGATTAACATTTCATACAACAAACGATTAAATTCTGGGTCAATGTGGTCAATGGGGCTCGTTCTCCACCGCTGCCCAGAAATCTGCCCGCGAAACGGTCGACCGTAGCCTACCAGCAGTCGACCGTGGGCTACGTTGAAGAGGGCTGGACTGCCGGCGGTCCACCGTGGTCTTCCGTCGTGACCGACGGTCGACCGTCACGGTGGTGACCGACGGTACGGCTGTGGGAACGGTCCACCGTCGGAAGCGGCGGTCGACCGTCCCGGTGACAGTCCGCCGTCCCTTGCTCCGTTTTGGTTCGTTTTGCTAATTTAACACCTAAATTCTTTTTAGAATAATAACACAACATTTTTGAGTATATTCCTAGTGATTCCTAGGCCAACATTTATAGATTTTACGTAACAAATGTTTTAGTGGCTAACCTACGAACATGCATAGATTCTACGTAGGTTGCGTACGATATTCCTATGAATATAACGACATAGATTATAACCAAATGTTCTTGAATTAGAGAGGACAACTACTCACCTCTAAATGAAGGAATTGATGGAACGAGATGAACGAATGGTGCCAACGAACAGACGAACGACGACTACGCTTCGCAAGAACGCCCTAGCCCTTCTTCTCCTTCAACCTTGCACCCGCCGGAGCTTCGCCGGAGGTCCTCCTTGCTGCTGGTCTAGCCGAACAAAGGGGAGAGGAAAGTGGATGGTGTTGATGATTATGGGAGGTTACAAAAATGGTGGAGGAAGGGAATGGGTTGGGGGTTTTTAATTTAAAACAATAATGAGGAGAGTAAAGTGAAACTTAATGGATCATGAATGTGTGAGTGGCGTGTGAATCATGGGGGAAGTTACAAATATATTTTCACTCCGTTATGTAAGAATCTGACCTGAACGGTACGCGCTTTTCCCCCCGAACGTGTCCGAATTGAGTTCCATTTGTGTTTCTGGAATCAGACAGTCAAGATGAATTTAATGATATGATCAAATAATTTTTCTAAGAACTTTTCATTTCCCCAACTCCGGTCCGGAACAGTAATTAATTATTTTAAATAATCAATTCTATTAGACCGGGTTGTAGGGCGTTACAATTATCCACTCCTTAAGGAAATTTCGTCCTCGAAATTTACCTGATCACTGGTCACTGAAAAGATGCGGATAACGAGTGCGCATGGATTCCTCGGTTTCCCATGTCGCCTCCTCGACGGTGTGACTTCTCCACAGAACCTTGACCAGCGGAATGGTTTTGTTCCTCAACTGACAGACCTCACGAGCTAGAATCTCAACCGGCTCCTCCTCGTATGTAAGATTCTCATCAAGTGTGACCGTATCAGCTGGAATAACATGAGAAGGGTCCGACCGGTACCTCCGAAGCATGGACACGTGGAATACATCGTGGATCTTGCTCAACTCCGATGGTAACTCGAGCCTGTAAACTACAGGTTCCACTTGTTCAGTGACTGGGTACGGGCCTATAAACCTCCATGAGTGGCAGGTACTGCTCCCAACCATCCCCAAAGTCGATCGCACACGCACGCATCATGTCCTCAAGAATCTGAATCACCCTTTCAGACTGACCGTCTGTCTGAGGGTGGAACGCCGTACTGAAGTGGAGATTGGAGCCCAATTCCCTCTGTAGGCTCTTCCAAAATTGCGATGTGAATCGAGGGTCATGATCCGAAATGATAGATGATGGAACTCCATGTAGCCTGATAATCTCGCGGATGTACAGCTCTGCTAAATGCTGAAGTGAGAAGTCACGACGGATGGGGAGAAAATGAGCTGATTTGGTCAATCGATCAACGATGACCCAAACTGTGTCGTGCTTATGTGGCGACAATGGCAGTCCCACAACGAAATCCATCGTGATGCAATCCCACTTCCACTCGGGAATGGTGATCTGCTGGAGCAGCCCTGAAGGAACCTGGTGCTCGGCCTTGACCTGCTGACAAGTCAAACATCGCGATGTGAACTCCGTAATCTCCCGCTTCATCGCGGGGCACCAGTAATGTCTCCTAAGATCCTGGAACATCTTATTACTGCCCGGGTGCATGGTATACACAGTGCTGTGTGCTTCGCGGAGCAGGCGTTCTCTCACCTCCACCGCTGGCACAACCATACGCCCCTGATAGTATAAGATACCATCCCGAACTGCGAAATCTGGCTTCTCTCCTCGAGAGACGAGCTCAACGGTCTGGATACAGAAATCATCGCTGCTCTGGGCCGATGCTATCTGCTGCTGTAATGTAGGCTGAACGTGTAACACAGCTAGAGTCTTACGACTAAGGGCATCGGCTACCACATTCGCCTTACCTGGGTGGTAGGCGATGTGACAGTCATAGTCCTTAATCAACTCTAACCACCTCCTCTGTCGGAGATTCAGATCCTTCTGCGTTAACAGGTACTGAAGACTCTTATGGTCGGTGAAGATACGCGTCGTCTCACCGTAGAGGTAATGCCTCCAGATTTTCAAGGCAAGTACAATGGCTGCTAGCTCTAGGTCGTGTGTCGGATAATTACACTCGTGCGGCTTCAGCTGCCGAGATGCATACGCAACGACCTTGCCCTCCTGCATGAGAACACACCCCAAGCCGTTATGGGACGCGTCGCTGAAAACCGTATACTCCACTCCTGGAGTGGGCTGGACTAGAACTGGTGCCTGGGTTAGACACTCCTTCAGCCGCTCGAAACTCTGCTGACAAACGTCAGTCCAAACGAACTTGACGTCCTTCCTCATCAGCTTGTGTAGTGGCGATGCTATTTTGGAGAAGTCCTTCACGAACCGACGATAGTAACCCGCCAGTCCGAGAAAACTCCTCACCTCACGTGCATTCCGCGGAGTCTTCCACTTCGTGATTGCTGCTATCTTACACGGGTCTACCTTCACACCTTCGGCCGAGATGACATGGCCGAGGAAGGTAACCTCGTGCAACCAGAACTCGCACTTGGACAGCTTGGCATAAAGCTGCTGTTCCCGAAGAATGCTCAAAACAATACGCAGATGCTCGGCATGCTCCTCCTGTGTCTTGGAGTACACCAAGATGTCATCAATGAACACCACAACAAACTGGTCAAGATGCTTCCGGAACACACTGTTCATCAGATCCATGAACACTGCTGGTGCGTTAGTCAAACCAAAGGGCATGACTGTGAACTCGTAATGACCGTATCTCGTGCGGAAAGCCGTCTTAGGAATGTCCTCCTTCTTGACGGGAATTTGATGGTACCCTGATCGGAGATCGATCTTAGAGAAGACCGTGGCTCCTCTCAGCTGGTCAAACAAATCGTCAATGCGGGGTAACGGATAACAATTCTTGATGGTAACTTTGTTTAACTGACGGTAATCAATGCACAACCGCATCGATCCGTCCTTCTTGCGGACAAACACAACCGGTGCTCCCCAAGGGGACACACTGGGTCGGATGAAGCCCTTATCCAACAACTCCTGCAATTGAGCCTTCAGCTCCTTCATCTCCGCAGGCGCCATGCGATAAGGTGTGATCGAGATCGGTCCTGTTCCTGGAACAAGGTCAATGGAAAACTCTACCTCCCTAGGGGGTGGTAGACCAGGTAAGTCATCTGGAAACACATCAGGGAAGTCACACACCGTAGGGATGTTCCCCCTACTGGGCGCCTCCTGACGAGTGTCACGCACTGTGCACAAGAACGCCTCACACTTCTTGCGAATGAGTCGACGAGCATGAATGTAAGAAATGAATTCTGGAGCTTTCGGAAGAAGCTCACCACGGATCAGTACGTCACTACCGTCCTCGGCTCTCAGTCGAACAACATGAGCTCCACAGTCAACAACGGCTCGGTTGGCGGTGAGCCAATCCATGCCCAGAATAACATCAAACTCACGATGTGGAAGCTCAATGAGACTTGCAGGGAAGGTCTTTCCCTGGACCACCAATGGGCAATCGTGATACACATGGGTGAGTCGCAGACTATGTCCCAATGGGTTGGACACAATTACCGGGTTGTCTAAAACTTCCCTCGGAATGTTAGGCATAACAGGCATACGCATACAAACATATGATAAAGTGGAACCCGGATCAATCAAGGCTGTAATAGATGTATCGAATAAGGTAAACATACCCATGATGACGTCATGGGCTGGCTGCTCAGTACGTCCTCGCATCGCGTAAGTGCGGGCCGGGGCCTTCCCCGTCTGGGCGCCAGGTGCTTGCCGCTTGAGCTGACTGGATGCTGCCACTGACTTCTGGCTTTGGGCGGGCTGCGCTGTCGGGGCTGAAGCGGCTGGTGCGGTCGAGAATGCCTCACCCGGATTCTTCGGACAATCTCTGCGGAAATGCCCCGCCTGACCACACCCAAGGCACAAGCCCAGAGTGTACCAGCATTCACCCGGGTGCCTGCGCCCTCAATGATCGCAGATTGGGTTACGGAACCCATCACCGCTTTTGCCCTTCTTCTGGACGGACGGAGATGACTGGTGATGGGGAATAACCCCACGCCAGCACTGGGGCTGACATCAGCATAAATTTCCTATGTTTCGGGCTTAGACGTTCCTGCCCGGATCTGCGCTCCGCTCATCCTTCCTGCCCGGCTCTGCGCTCCGCTCGTCCTCCCTGCTCGGCTCGGCCGACCAAGTCGAGCCCGAGCCCCACGACAATGACATGCGGAAAGCGACGTTCAACGGAGACTTGAGGAAAGCGATAGGATGAAAGGGACAAGACGTGCGGAAAACGACGTTCAACAAAGACTTGGTGAAAGCGATAGGATGAAAGGGACAAGACCTAAGGACAGGTGACGTCTGCTAAACGACGGGCCTCGATCGGAGGGCTTTGACTTAGTGTATTGTACCCCCTATAAAAGGGGTGGCCCCCCTCATTGTAATGGATCGGAATTTGAAATCAAGATACTCCTACTTTGCATTCTCTCTCTCTAAAACTTATATTATTTCATACTCTCGGTGGTTTATAGCCATCAAATTGGTGCTTTCATTGAGAGAAGAGGAACATACTCGTAGGTTAACTCCCGAACGCGAGAATGGTGCAAACAAGGAGCAACGTCCCCACCACCAGCCACGTCGTTGGCGAGGAGAACGCGCCGGGCAGCGGCAACGGCACGGGAGGTATCGGCTCGACTCCAGACGCGGTCCAAGCGCTGTTCGGCTTGGGGGTGTCCGCGGAGCAGCTCCAGGCAGCCGTTGCGGCACTTTCCGCTATGGGTGGGAACGTGCCCGGCGCCGGAGGTGGCAAAGCTCCGCCCGGTCTCCATGCCGAACACGCTGCCACTTCCCAACACAAGGGGAAGAAGACCCGTAGGAGCAAAAGGAGGCCCGGCAAAGCCCCGGTGTTTGAGGAGGTGATAGTGGAGGACATCCCCGAAGGAGAAGACGATGAGTCCAGCGAGTGCCGGGTGTCGGCCTTCAAGCGCTTAGGAGGTGAAGAGACCCGGGTGTCGGCCTTCGACAGGCTCGACCACGGACCGGGAGGTCACCCGGGCGACCTCCGCCGACAAATAACCGAAGGTAGGCGGAGGCATGCTGAGGAGTCCGCGACCTCGGATGCACGCTCGGCGAGGCCCGAGCGGAGCGGCGAAAGGCAGGACGAGCGCACCCAGCGTCGCCATAGTCCAACCAGAACTGAGAAGACAAAGGCCTCTGACCAAGGGGTATCTCGGATCGCTCGTGAGATTGCCGAGCTCAAGCGCCGAGTGGAGACCAGGGCTCCCTACAGCCAGCCCATCTTGCGGACGGTAATCCCGTTCACTCCGAGGGTTATGTCGGTTCCGCTGCCGGCAAACTTCCGGCCCTGGCAGATCAAGGCCTACAACGGAACGACGGACCCCCAAGATCATTTGTTTAAGTTCTATGCTTCTATGGAAGCGGCGGCAGTCCCGGATGAGGTCAAGTGCCGATGCTTCCTCGCAACGCTAGAGGGCTTCGCGTGCGATTGGTTCAACCGGCTCCTGAAGGGAACTATTGACGACTGGGATACGCTAGCGGAGAAGTTCTTGACGCATTTCGCAGCCAACCGGAGGCAGAGGCTACCTTACTCCCACCTGCTCAACATTTGCATCCGCAAAGGAGAGAAGATTCGCGACTTCATAACCCGGTGGGAGAAAGAAGCAAGAGACGTGCACGGGGCGGATGACCAAGCGTTGGTGGCCATGTTCCAAGCAGCCCTTCCCCGCGGTGAGGTGAGGAAGGAGCTCCGCAAGAATCCTCCCCCCCACGTACCAAGAAACCTTGGCGCGCGCTAAGTTCTTGGCCTCGGAGGAATTCGACGATGCCCCTGACTCCGAGGCCGCGCCGACCAAGCGAGCTCCCGCAGATTCAGAGGAGATAGCGAAGAAGAGGAAGAAGAAGAAAGACCACTCTGTGGGCTCGAGGACGCCCTCGGCGGGTGTGTACTCCGTGGGTGCGCCCGCGGGGATGGGTCGAGAGCTGGCCCTCTCCCCGCTCCCGCACGTGGAGACCTATGCGGTGTCCAGCGGCGCCAAGTACTGTGAGTATCACCGCAACAACACTCACAACACTAAGGAATGCTTCACTCTTCAGAAGGAGATGCAGCGACTCATCGCCCGAGGGCCGGCTCCGCGAGTCGATGGAGCCGCCCCTTCCCGAGGTCCACCGGAAGGGAGAACGTGGAGGAAGCCGACCGAGCCAGTCGCGGTGGCCATGCAAGCGAGGAACCCCGAGAAGAGGCACATTGGGCGAGAGTGTGATGATCTAGACGAGGACGAAGCCCAAGGATATCCGGTGGGGTTCATCCATGGAGGAAATATCGGCGGGGACTCCGCCGCTCAAAGAAAGAGGTGGAAGCACATGGCCTTCGTCGCCAAGGTCCAACAGGCGCCGACGCCCAAGCTCAGAAGACGACAGCAAATCCAATTCACGGAGAAGGATCTTCCGGACACGCCGAGCCGCCACCGGGACGCCTTAGTCGTGAAGATGGAGATCAACAACGCCATAGTGCACCGCACCTTGGTGGACACGGGAAGCTCGGTCAACATAATGTATGAGAAGACCTTTCAAGACCTCGGCTTGGACCGCAAAGATTTAAGGCCCGTGCGCACTCCTCTCTCCGGGTTCACGGGGGACTCCATCGAGGCCGA